TTTGCTACCTTTAAGATAGTAAATCGACCTGTTATCTCTGCTCTACGGACAATCAACACACACAACATGTTAATGCTCACGCTACATTATGTGATTAAGATTGTCTATACGTTAGCTAGCCCTTTATACAAATTGCTTTACTAACACTCAACTGGCATCCAAACTTCCAGCAACCATGCAAACATTCCAATGAGTGCTATGGTGTTCGGTTATTACGAACTTTGAGCTTAGGGACGTTAAACTTTGAACTTCGTTACCTCACGCCATAACGATGTGACCGCAAATTTGCTGCTGCAGTGTGTCGTTTGTCCAAGAATTGTCCACCCAGTGTACTTAGATGATAAACATAATGGCGCATGATTAGTCAGAATGCCGTAATATTCCAAGTTTGCGGCATTACGACGTCTTTAGAACCTTGACAAGAGTCCTGCTAATGACAGTCATGATAACCACCTGCTGATGATAGTTACGATCACTGTCTGGATACCGAATCGGACAGACGTTCAATCATTAACTAATTGTAAACACATTTGATCGATTGAATTTCTATGAATACATATTTGATTAATTGACGTGGCGAGCGGATACTTCGCCAGATCAAACTTACTTTCAATCGAGGAATCTGAACAGATAAATACAGAAAGACGCAACACACATGTCGCTGATCCGCAAGCTAATCATCGCGTTCCATTCGGGGTTCATGGACACTTTTTTATCGATTTCCTAATAATTTATTACATGCAAAGTGATTAGAAAAGGGTGCAAAGATAAACAAGACAGTCAGGTATTAGGAAGGACAAAAGAAACAAATGTTTGCTCTATAACTTTGTTGAAACACTTCACAAGCGTTTATTGTCGTTGAAATGTCGGTATTCAGTCGGTGATTGCTATGCCACTTCTTGTAATCGCGGTATTTCCAATATCGTCTGCGCTCCAAATGCCCTTTTTCCAAAAAAAGACAGACCTCCTTCAACAAGTATCCCGGTTTTTGCACAAACACTGAGACACGCTCATTTATCCTTCATTGCAAACCTTACAGCAACAAACTGAACATTTTCATATGGAATGACTTTGAATCTCTTGGGAGCTCGAGTCGATCGGCATCATTTTCATTCCTCACGTCGCTCTTTATGTGCATAACTGTGTATTGCTTGAGATTTGCTTGATTTGTGCGTAGGTGAAAATCCCCTACCAAGACCCTCCTTGCACACACTTTCGTCTGCTCGATAGCAAAAAGTGATAATCGCAGACCAGCATTATTGATTCTGTCGTCTGGAACAGCAACACTAGCGACTTTTGAGGCTATTTTGCACCGTGATGACTTGTACCCGCTTGTGTTTTTTCGCCGCCTTCGCAACATGGTTTGGCCATTTGGCACAGGCAACTGGTTTGCCATCGCTAAAATTCCGATTCACACTCAAACGGAACTGCATGAATGTACAAGGCTTGTCTGAATTTTCTGTCGTCGCAAAACCGGTCGAACCAACAAGTAGTGACAGCGTACTCTACGACGTTTTTTCATCATTTGTCGAAAACGGCACAGTACACAATTACTTCCTAGTGAATGGAATTGGTTTTTCTTCAAGTTCTCCATCTTATAGTGCTCAAATTCCGACCATCAAGTGTCTGGATTCCGAGCACGACCAACTTCCACCAATCAACTCGTTTGTCAGTGCGATAAACAAAGCAATTGCAGTCCCTTCAAGTGCAATTGAGTGCCCAAATGGGAACCTATTTCACGTTGCGGTCAATAACATTGATTTTGCATTATGCAAATTGGATTCGTTGGGGTTTGCAATGCAAAGCAGCGATATGGACGTGAAGGTTGAGTATCTCAACACCTACAAGGACTCTACAATCCCTATTCCAGATTCAACTTTGAACTGCGGCACAATGGCAGTTCCTAGCTCCATTACACCAATTGGAAGATCGTTGCTGACCGGAGGATCGATTCCCCAAAGCAATGTGAGGAGCTTGAAAGCTGCGTTCAAACTCCCGTTCCAGAAATCTCGATCTTCTTGTTTGTGCAAATCTGCACGTCGTCCGTGCATTTTCGTTCATGGTTTGGGTATAAAGGAAGAAATGCCGACGAACCAGGATAACTTCACGCACTACTGGGGTGACCACTTGTTCAAACACGCGCCGTGCTGTTCATCACTCAAATTTACGCATTTGAATACAGTAGAAAATATGTGGACCAGCCCAAAGCTGCAACAAAAAGTGTGTGATCGTGTTCTGGCAGTGAGTGATAGCAGCACGAATATTGCAATCGTTGACACTATCGTTGTTACGCACTCAATGGGTAATCTCATGTTTGCTGGTGCACTTGCCAATGGAATCTGCAAGCTAGGCCCTAGCTCAACGTGGGTGGGCTTGGCGGCGCCTATGATGGGGAGCATGGGTTCAGATTTTACCCAGAAGTCCTGTGCTGGTAATACCAATGCCTTCTGGGAAAAAATCGGAGACATCACGGGTCGATGTCCTCCAACCACTGCGTTGAAATCGCTGGCATACCAGGGTGAAAAGTATAGCAATAAGAGCTTGGATGCAATGTATGTAGCTGCACAGGAAACGTATACGAAAAACGTGTACGCAGCAATGTGTGGCAAATCAAACTCCGGGATTGTATCCAAATACCAAGTAAAATTTTGGGCTTTGGGAAGGCTTGTTCCTCACAAATCACCCGATAATGATGGCATGGTAGAGTATCAGAGCTGCGCTGCAGGGATTCCTCGATCGAACTTTGGTAAATCCTGGAAAGATCGTTTTTACGTGACACATTTGAATCATTCTGATATGAAGTTTCTGTCTGGTGATTCAGTGTTCAACGAGAAAAAGATGCCTGTGAAATGGTTTGAATGCTTGCTGTAGTCAGCAATTTCAGTACTTCTACAACAGAACAGCAGACTAACTAAAATAAATAATCAGGTGTCATTTGCAAAGAATACTTCATCTTACTCGCAATATCAAGTGTGTAGGCATTTACCATAACCTTGACGACCTTGAACGGTCCAATATAGCGCGGTGACAGTTTATTTGCACCAAGGTTTGTCACAGATGCCGCTTGAATGCCTGTCGTGGATAACAACACGGAGTCACTCACGGAGAACTTCTCTAAATTCTTGCGTCCGCGTTGATCCGCGGGCGCCTTCTGTTTGTCTGACATGACCGAGTCTCTCTCGAAGGAGCTTCGTGAGTATTAATAGCGCGTTAGATTTGTTGAATATGACACGGAGCAGGCAAGGTAACTGACTAAGCTGCTGACTCGCGAGTGGAGCAGGTGTCTTCGACTGTTGCCGGATTGGCGGCTCGCTTGGAACGGTTAAAACAGTCAAATGCGGCTTTTCAGAAGGACAACGCGGTGTTGTGAGGGGACCGTCAACCGGATCCTCCAAGGAAGCCGAAGTACCGCGGGCCACGTTATGCTCCCGCGGCAGGACCTCCTAATCAGTCGGGAGGAGGGCCGGCCAGTAGCGTTTGAGTCGCTCAAAGTAAAATGTTGGGTGAAGTCGCATTGCAGTTGGGTGATATCGATCTCCACACATCCTACTCATTTTATCTCTCGACATCTTCTAGCGCAGCATGATGCAATGAAAAAAAAACTTGGTTCGAGATGGAACACTCAAGTGAAGACTGTTGAAAGGCAAAAGTCCCTTGCACTTCATGTAAGCAACAAAATGCTAGCAACTGTCAGCAAAAAAGATGGCCGTAACGTGACTAGCAAGTAATGATTCGCTACTGATTTCAATAGTTGCACTGTCAAGGTGTTGATACACTTGGTTGGTGGCTCATCGTCGTGAGGTAAAAAAATTGGATCCGATGGACAGTACAATGTCAGCAAAGGACCAGTCTTTAGTACATCCGCATAACTCTTCCTTCCCCGTCGTAACCTGTGATCTAATTGTCGAAATGTTGCAAATTAACTTGAAAGCACATAATGGTGTTCAAGAGTTCCGATTCCATTTTGCTGAGACGATGATCAGTTTGACGCGCATCTCTCCCAATGGTTCCCAAACGGTACAGTTGTGTTCACCTTAAGCAGTCCATTGCCGCCAGCATTGGTGCTACCCAACGAAAAATCACATCTTGCGATACGTTTGATAATCCAGTGCATTGTACCCATCAGATGTCGACACGCTTTGGGCAGACTAGGTTCACACATTCAATGGCCCGTAAAACTATACGTAACAGCATCTTCATCGGGTCTGGCGAAGCACGTTGCTGTCAGCCTCCATATCTTGGACAATGCTTTGACGTCCTGTGCCTCAAAAATGCTGTCGACCAGCGAGTTGTTGTCTAATATCTGAGTATCTTGTAAACGCTGTAAAAGCATTTCTACTTGTACCTTCCTGATAAACGAGCTACCAAAAGCGTTGCGAGCGTTGTGAGTTTGTTCATACAAATCGATAACATCAATGCGCTCATGTGGCAAAAGTATGAGTAAAGGAAGAGATCACATACGCGAAGACCGTGCAGAATGCAATCATGACGCAAAGACAATTTGCGATTGTCTCCGGAGACGAAAGATGGATCACTTAGCCTGGTTTTGTGTCCAATACAATCGAAGCGAGTAAAGAGGACAATCATCGGGCGCGACAACAACTCCAACAATTCGATAGCTAAGAGGCACAACGTTCTCAAAATGTACGTCACTTTGCTAAAAAGTAAGTTGCCCATTGTTATTGTCAAGCATAGGAATCAGTCAACAGCAATAACAACATCTTAGTTGTGGTTGCGTCATACAACTTACTGCGATATATTCGAGCTGCCGGAATGCGACGCCGCTAAAGCACTCAAAACCTGCATCCTAAGTAGGAGGATACAGTGCAACCTGCAGCTGCTTTTTGTGTAACACCATTGCGGCCATTCCTAGTTCATTTTCATGTAGTGCGACATTTTTATAGTCAGCGGTTGAGGTGCGCTACTCTAGAATATTGAAAGCTTAGATGGACTTGCAGTAAAGAAACCCAACTATTAGTGTTCAAACCTTAAAGCTTGCGTTACATCAGACACTCAAACCATTTTATTGGCATCTTGGCTTCATTCGACAGAGAATCACCCCCAAGAAACTCCATGTCAAAATGGTTGAGCTTGGTCCTGTAAAAGCGATCACGAAAAGTGTTACCAAATTTAGATTCTGGAAATCCGACGGCACAGCTCTGAAATTCGACCACACCATCGTTCTGGTCAGAAAGGTGAGGGATCATGCGGCCAAAGAGCCAAAATTTCATCTGGTATGTCGTCAATAACCCAGAAGAGCTTTCGCCGCACATGAGAGCGTACACATTTTCGCGGTAAACCTTCTGTGCAGCTTTATACGCGGCGTTAAGCTCCTTAGAGCTGTGACTTCCGCCCTCGTACGACAACGACATGACTGACTTTTTCGGGGGACACTTTCCGGCAATTTCACTCAAACTTTTAAGGACAATGTTTCTATTTCCAGCACAGGTGTCTTGGATCAAGTCTGAGGCCATACTTCCTTTCATTGGTCCAGATATAGCCACCCACGTCGAGCTTGAATCAAGCTTGCATAGGCCATTAGCAATTGCTCCAGCCAGCATGAGATTTCCCATCGAGTGGGCAATCACGATCGTGTCCATAATTGTAGATGACGTGCTCGACTCACTCACTGCAAGAGCTCGATGGCAGGTTTGTTCCTGAAGTGTTTTGCTGGTCCAAGAATTATCGATCGTGTCTAGTCGGACATATTTCATGGATGAACAGCACGGGGCATGACCGACTAGATTACCCCAGTAGTGAGGAAACGAGTCTTGGTTGTCTGCCATCTCAGGTTGTATACCTTGTCCATGGATGAAGATGCACGGACGCGGCTTTGACTTGCACGAGCACGGAATCAAATCAAGTTTTTCTTCGCGAAAGATAAAAACACTTCTCAGCTTTCTCTTGTCTACAACAGGCAATGCTTTTCCAGTAAGAAGAGCGTGTCCGAGCTTCGTCACTGATGTGAACGAGACTTTAGACGAGCATTTTTTATGCTTCATGACCGGGGGCACTATTTTAATAGGACCCTCCAAGTATTCCACCGAGATGTCCATATCGCTGCTTTGCATTGTAAATCCCGTTGTCCCTGACACACAGATTGCATAGTCGACATTGTCCATCGCAGTTTGATATGAGCCGCCTGTCTTGCATTGTTTAGCATCACGACTGCCACCCTTAGACACTTTGGTTGCTTTATTAACGGCAGCTACGATGGCATTGATTGCTGGAAGTTTGACGGTTTTGCCGTCAAAACACTTCACTATCGGAGTCGGAGCACCTACCGTGTTATCATTCGAGAACGGAGTATTTTCAGAGTGTCCGACGCCGTTCACAAGTGTATAATTGTGTAGCATGTTGTCTTGAGTGAAGACGGCGTAGACATCATATAGCACCTTTTTGTTATTGTCCAGTACAACGGGGTTGGCAAACATATCGAAAGCTTTGTGGCCGTAGATTCTCAAAGAGCGACGTTTGATGCGAAACGAAAATCGAAGCGCTGGCCATTCTAGAGGTGTCCCCGTTGCATGTTTTTTCCCATGTTTTGCGTGATCCGTAGCATTTACGAACAATGTAATCGAAAGAAGCGCGATCAAAGTGACTGCTACAGTCCTGTTAGAGAACTGCATGCCACCGACGATGGACAAAATTGTCAAATGGGCTCTGTGAATTTGTCAACATGAGAGTCTTTCCCGCTTTTCCCATCGCAAAAGATGGTCTTAAGCATGAAAAAGGGCACAGGGAGAATTTAATGCACAATCTAAGACATTATACCTCCATGTGTGGAGGTATAATAGAGACAGAAGGTATCCAGGAGATCAAACCAAGAATGGTTGAACATATCTCACTTAGCGACTGAATGTATTCAGTTTTACTTGATCAAGTGCAATTTCAATTGATCAATTCATCATGAGCTAACTGTCATTGTGACTTGCCAGAAGTAGCGTTGACATTACTAATATGGAAGAAAACCCACAGAGGATCAAGGATAAACATACAGAAGTAGGAATGAGACTCACATGTACGAGATCAAGATGTTTGCGCATTTAACAATCAAGTGCGCATATAGACGATGAGGAGGATGGATAGGCGCATAGATAAATGAGATATGATTGGTTGAGAGCCTTGACCATATGCAAAGGGGTATGTAGATCGTGTAATCGTATTGATTCGACATGACAATTCAATAATAAAAGGGGCATGTTACTTTGTAATATAAATTATATGAGGTAGAAGGATAGTTGTACCTTTAACAATTGATTTTCGTTCTTATCGAGTACGACAGAGATATATTATGATCCATTGAGGACGGTTGCGTACTTGTCACATGAAGCATCGATTACATTTGTAGTCTCATGGTTCTTTATCAAAACTTTATGCGCAATTTGCACAATATCTTCAAAAGCCACATCAGAATAACGACGCCAACAAAAATGGTCACGCCATTGTTGAATCGAAAGTTGAGGACTCGTTAGACCATGAAAGACCTTGGCCACTGAATAGCTCGTCCATTTCATACCTTCCTCTGTATCCTTGTCATCCACAGCTTCTCTCCCTTTCATTGCATAATTACCACCAAGACGAAGTTGTACAAGCGAACGCGTATCATGCTCAATCGATTCCATCAGAGATGACGTTAGTGGTCGTAACATCTTCTGCAAACGATGTTTGTCCTCATGACACTGTTCAGCTTCGTCACCATCAGTTTTCTCATCCTCGTCGTCAAAATAGCGCACAAGTTTGGTCTCAAGAACACGCGCTTTATCCTCTAGATCTTCAGTCTTATTTTCAACTTGATGTCGTGAAGCTGTCGGAGATGGCGTTGGCAATGCAGCTGCGTGCAGTGCTTCATATAAATAAGCAAGGCGTGCAAGCTGACGAGATTCAAGCTCCTCATGTTTTGCGTACAAAGTCTTCGTCCATTGCTCCACAACCTCACCTTTCATCTCATCGCTCAAGCCAACTTGCCAGCTCAATTGCACCTGGAACGCTGGTTCAGAAAGTGATAAGCGCTGAATGCGGCCGGTCTGCTGCGCTGCCCGGAGTTCTTGCAGCATACGACGCTCGTTTGTTGCGGCAGCAATAGCAGCAGCGTTGGTCTCTCCCTCCTGCTTAGCACCTGAACTTGCCAATGTAGCAGCAGTTTTTTTGACGATTTCGCGAGTCCTATTTGTACGTTCGTACCACTGAGCTGCTTCATGCAGATGAAAGTCCACAGCCCACGAACTCAAATACCCGTCCTTGCGATGTGTCACACGTGCATTAGGAAGCTCCTTACGCTGCACACCTTCAAGCAAAAGCTTTGCGCATGAGCGTGGTGCTAACTTATTAGCCTGCGTGTCGAGCAGCTGCAACGTGCACCGACTCATGCTCAAGGGCCGCAACACCACGCGCAAATTTGAGTTGTCGTCCTTGTTGATTTCTTGACCACGCTGCGTTCCAAGTGCTAGTAGCGTCAAAAATGTTTCGATCGTAGCCGCCTTAAGGTCGAGGTGGCGTTCCAACCAATCCCGTTCTAAGGACACTAGTGTCAGATCACCATCTCGTGGGCCAGAGTATTTCACTGCAATCACGTGATTTTTGCTCGATGTGATTGCTGAGGTTGCGTGATCTTGGAAAACTAGCGTAAGCAGCCTCTGAAGTTGGTCGCGGTGTAGCGCCGTCGAGAACAGCAACGAACGGTAGTAAATAGCGTCATCAGGCAGCAGGTAGAGAAGTGCTCGCGCGGCCTTCCCATCACGACCAGCTCGTCCAACCTGCTGTACGTACCCCTCTACCGAAGATGGCATGTGAAAATGCACAACTGCGCGTACATTCTTCTTGTCAATACCCATGCCGAAAGCCACGGTGGCCACCACCACTCGTACTCTTCCTCGTCCAAAGCCCGTCCGAACCTTCTCCTTTGCTTCTGAAGACATACCCGCATGAAACGCCATAACTTTTCCGGCACCGCGCCAGGTAGAAGGCAGTTGCTCACGAAGCAAAGCTGCTAACTCCTCTGTTTGTCGCTGCTGATGAACGTACACGATAATGCCCCCCACCATTTCCGTTTGACACTCGCAAAGATCCTTTGCTTAGCTCCGGTAGTAAATGAACGAGATGCCGTAGTCGTTCATCATTAGAGCGTACCAATCGGACCTCAAGCGCCAAGTTGCTCCGTTGCCACGGCATTTGCAACACCATGTTACTTTCGTTCTCACAAACCTTGTTGGCAGCAGCTTGAACTTGACAGCGTGAACGTAGTTGGTGCAGCACGTCATGCACAACACGTCGTGAAGCTGTGGCGGTCACACATAGAACGCACTGCGCATGACGGAAAACCTCTGCAAGCCGCAGATAACTTGGACGAAAATGATGAGACCACTCAGATATACAATGCGCCTCATCAACACACACTAGTGCCAGTCGCGCTCGAACGCACGGCATCGCAAGAAGAGCCTGCATTCCTGCGCCCAGTGCCTTTTCTGGTGACAAAAAGACAAGTGAAAGCTTATGTGCCAGCAAGTCACGTACAAATGCTGCATGCTTTGCTTTCGACAAGGCGGAAGCGGAGCCAGAGGATCCAGAAAGACACACAGCACGAGCCTTCAAAGGTGCTGGAAGACTCTCGTACTGGTCGTTCATCAGCGAAATAAGGGGTGAAACAACGAGCGTAATTCCAGGTAAAAACAGTGCTGGGAACTGATAGCATAGCGATTTGCCAGCACCCGTGGGCAACACGAGAAGTGTATCTTGGCGATGAAGCACCCTCGAGATGGCCCATTGCTGTCCAGGGCGAAAATTAGCGTGACCAAACACAAGTCGCAAGTTAGCGAGCATTGCATCTTGCTGCTCTTCTACAGGCGCCTCGATGTCCAGAGGCACACACTCGATAGCTTCTGCTTCTATCGCAGATGCCACGGCACTAGTCAAAGACGGAGCAGTGAAAAGTGTCTGTAGTGCGAGAGGAACGTGGTCATCTTCCCAAAGAAAGAAATTGCAGCGGCCTTCATCAAACGCCAACGGGCACGCAAAAAACTTTCGACCGTAATTTTTGTTTCTTTTCTTGACCTCCAAACTCCGACAAACAAGCGCATGGTGGCATCTTGGCGGTTCCATAGACTGTGTTTCCCGCTCTAAATTTGTTGGCTCCGACGTGTCAGCAGCCAAAGGACTACGAACTTTTTCAGCTTCGGCCAATGCCTCAATGCATTTCTCGATAAAGTCTCCTCCGTCATCGGTTAGCAGTGGCTTATCTTGTTTACGCTGCTGACTGCCGTTCGCATCAACAAGGGGAGCGAGACCTGTGGAAATGTCACCAGTGGCTTCATCCAGCGGGTGTTCATGTCTCGCTCGCAGATACGCTGGTCGCTTCTTCGCACGTCCAGAACTTCCTCTAAACCGCTTGCGCATGTTGAGTCGCACAAAGTTATCACTAACAACATGTTGAGCGTCCTCAGCTTTCCATCTCTCAAACTCCGCTGCCTTTGTAGCCACACCAAGACCGCAAGAATCCAATTGGTGGCTTCCAGACAGAGCATCATCAAAGTCATCAAGAATTAATGCACCATTTCCTTTTGAGGCAAAACCCCACACCTCCCGTTCTCTTTCCTCTTCCTCCTCAACTAAAGGTTTTCGTTTCTCTTTTCTTTTTGTCTTCATTTCCTGCATCTTTCCACTGTTGTCATCACCCATTGAGTTCAGCGACGACGCCGGTGCTAACGAAAACGCATCTCTATCAGCTATACTGCCTAACTCTATTTCATCCCCTCCTTTATCTCCTTGTTTATCACGAAAGGCTTCCTGAAAGACGCGATCAAAGCCCATCTCTTGTCGTTCTCGTTCCTGCTGTTTTTCATGAGCTGTTGCATGGCCTCGAGACTTATTTAATGCTCCATTTCTCCACAACTGCTGCTGTTCACGCACAGACAAGGCAAGTCTAACCGCGCAATCATTTTGATCCTTTCTTGCGTTCTGCTGCATCTTTATAGTCGATTTCATCGTACTTGATGATCCAACTGCCTTTTTTTCTTTATTTATCTTGACCTTGTTGTGTTTTCTCTTGTCTATAGCTCTTAGTATCCATCCAGTATCGTCAACACCGAGTTTAGTCTCGTTCGGAGGTTTATTCCATGCATTCTTAGCCTTTCCGGTGCTTTTACGTGGCAAAAAAAGAGGTGGATGAGAAAGAGGTGGTAAAGACGATGATAAGACAGTCGTTGAGACTGTATGAGACGTAGAAATGGTGCTTGAAGCAGCTGAAGAGCTGCCAGTGGACGCTTGTCGTCTTGGCCACATTAGTTTGTAAATGGTAAAGTATCAAGACGTTTGATTGGTCAAAATCCAAAAAAACATGCATGGCCCGGCTTTATTTCCTGTAACATAATTTGATTGGCATTAATCATGTCGCTAGTAACAGGAGGAGCAAAAGCATTAAATGCCATTGAGTTTCTACGACTTTGTGGACGTCTTAAAGTAACAAAACTCCTTTATTGATGAAATTTCATATTTAATAACTAAAAATTTAGCTGCAAACATGAAATTGTCATGAAGTCACGATGTCTGATACAAATTGAGTATTCATAATGTTCTGTCATTCCTTTATGCTTCTGTAGACACTTAAACGCAGTGGATGGGTTAATAATAATGTGATCTTACCTGAATCTGTGGCTGATCATATGTATCGTATGGGAATGTGTTGCATGCTATTGGACGATGCTAATGAGACGATTAATCGCTCCAAGTACGTGGTAGAGAATATCATCACTATCACTTGTCTTTTGTATTGTTTTTTCAAATATTGATATTGATTTTCTTGTAGATGTATCAAGATGGCGATTGTCCATGATTTAGCAGAGTCACTAGTGGGAGATATTACACCTCATGATGGTCTTGTTTTCTAAGTAGTTGTAGTTTGATTTAGAGTCTGGTTTGATAATGTCTTGTATGTGTCATGAATAGGTGTTGCGGAAGAGGAGAAACATCGTATGGAGAAGGTCTGCTGATGGTATTTGTACCCTCGGGTATGAAACGGAATGAGTCGATGTGAATCAATTACGTATGCTCTGGGTTGTTGCAGGAGGCACTGGACGAGATTTGTAACACACTGGGCAATACACCGTCCGCTGCAGAGATTCGTTTGCTTTGGAATGAGTACGAGGAGGGGATAACCGAGGAGGCTCGAATGGTCAAGGTAATATATATATATATATTTGTACGAAGATGTTTGTTTAATGTAACTCATCCAATGGCTGCTGATGCTGCTGGAAATGTGGTTCTCGGACTATTTGTGGTGCCGTGCAGGATTTTGACAAGTTTGAAATGATTCTACAAGCTGATGATTATGAAAGAGGTAGAGAGAGATGATGTGATTTGTCTCTGGTCAGAGAATTATTGTATTGAGTCGTATGATAATGTCGTATGTATTGTTATATCCAGCTCAGAATATTCCACTGGATGATTTTTTTGAAAGCACCAAGAACAAGTTTCGTACACCATTGGTTCAATCCTGGGCTAGTGAATTAACCACGCAACGTAATGCACGTCTTGAGACGAAAAAGTCTTGGGTGCCAACGCAGTAAGCATTTACTCTAGCAATTGGACGATCAGAGTGTGAGCAGAATGTAGGTCAACTTCAACGGGTCGTAAAAAAAGCAGCGGTAATGATAGTATGAAATTGTTGTGAAACATTGCGAGATGCCGATTGGTTGAAATCAATTATTTTGTGAGCGGGGTAGGGACTTAAAACGTGGCGTAGTCGTGTCCTGTCAATTTGAATTTCTCCCTAGGAACGTATTGACTTGTTTTTCTTCTCTCTTGAGTATTTGGAGTACCATGTCTCTTGCTGCTGTACCGACTGCTTCATTGCTTTTAGAGCTACAGAAACGTATTGAATGCTCGAAAAAGAAGGAACGTCGTACTATTTTTATTGGTACGCACGAACTTTTGTATTGATTTGTGATGAACTTGTAGATTTTGATCCTTTTTGGACTATAATGCTGCCATCGATAGGACCTCCTGGATGTGGCAAAGGCACACAGTCACCTTTAATAAAGGAAGAATACTGTTTTTGTCACTTGGCGACTGGTGACATTCTACGTGCTGCTGTAGCCGCCGGTACTGATATGGGTAAGAAGGCAAAGGCTGCTATGGAATCTGGCGCCCTTGTGACAGACGAGATTGTGGTTGGCATTATTAAGGATGCTATCAAAAGCCCCGAGTGTCGTCGTGGTTTTATTCTTGACGGCTTTCCACGCACTGTCGTACAGGCTAAAAAGGTGTGTATGTGGTCGATGATACAACATGCAACGTTTGACATAAACGTCGTGCTTTGTAGTGCTAAGCGATGTGTGTTGTTGCTGTGGTTTGTGTTTTCATAGCTCGATGAAATGCTGGCAAAGGAAAATAAGTCGGTGGACGCTGTGGTGAATTTTAACATTCCGGACGATGTCCTGGTGGAACGTGTAGCTGGTCGTCGCATACACCCAGCCAGTGGTCGTAGCTACCACGTCAAGTTTGCACCGCCTAAGATAGAAGGAAAGGATGATATTACGGGTGACCCTCTCATCCAGCGCAAGGATGACAATGAGGCTACACTAGGCTCGCGTCTTGAAGCTTTTCACAAGCAGACGCAGCCTGTGATTGACTTTTACCGCAAGCAGGGTAAGCTTGTTGACGTGAATGCTCACACAGACATGGTCAAGGTCACGGAGCAGATTCGCAAAAGTCTCGGCTCGGACTAGATTATTCCTTTTATGTTGGACATTAGAGTAATCTCAGCTTTTAGTTCTGCTTTGCTTCCGAGGCGTTTGTTTAACTCGATTGGCGAGTTATGAGACACTTTTTTGCACGATAAAGTGCATGAATGTTGACGTCTGCACATTGGTGTAATTATTTTCCAGTTTTGAGAGTTTATTGACTTTTGTGGTAATATATTTCTGTAATTTATTTGCATGAAAATGACATGAGCTCAATTATTGTAAATAACATCCGTCGAGACTATTTTTTTAACCTTTTATTTAGTCCAAATCCAAATGTGTTTTTGCATAAGTTTATGACCAATCAGCGCTCGACATTTATGTGCTGCAATCTTATTCTACATCATTTTCCATTCATCATGGCCAATGATAATAATCCACTACTGAAGTTATATCTCGTGATCTTTAACGCTGCTTCATGTGCTGGATGGGCCTATGTGCTCTATCTTACAGTCACTACAGTACTCAAGACATACGGCGACGATCAAGTGGCTCAAAATACGTGGGATGTGGTGTCATTTCCTCTCAAAGTAGTGCAAACAATGGCAGTCATGGAGATTGTGCATGCTGCATTGGGTTTTGTACGCTCACCACTGGGCTCAACGCTGATGCAGGTGAGCTCCCGTTTATGGCTCGTCTGGATCATTAATGTGCTGTGTCCTGTGTCGCGCTATCAGTTTGGCTTCCCGCTCATGGTGACCAGTTGGGGTCTTGTAGAAGTGCCACGCTATTCTTTCTATGCACTGAATCTATACAACGCAGTGCCAAACGTTCTCTTCTTTCTCCGTTATCATCTCTTTATGTTACTTTATCCATCAGGTGTTCTTGGTACGTTCTTGTATTATCGATATTATGTGGTGTCTAAGACTCGGTACCTTGATGTCATTTTTGTGCAAATGTAGAGCTTATTCATTGTGTTGTTGTATGATTTTAGGCGAGGTGCTGTGTATGGTAAGCTCCCTCAGCTTTCTGTCTACCGGTGTATACGCCATCCAATTGCCCAACACACACAATGTCTCGGTTTCGCTCTACGTGGTGGTTCTTTTCGTGCTTATCGTGTACATCCCGGGTCTGCCCGTCATGTATGGACACATGCTCACGCAGCGTAACCGTGCTTACTCCAAGACCAAGACCAAGACGGCGTAGACCAGTATAACCCATGGGACGACGGCTGATGAGCGTGTGCACTTGCAATGGCCAATATCCTTACTGACGATTTCAAAATATAACGATCAACGAGAATGAATCTCACCAAGCTTGCGTGCGCTAGTCTGTTGATGAATAACTTCTTGTTGCTTCCCTTAGTGCTGCTTATTGAAATAGCTTTTGGTTGGTAGCAGCTTCTGTTTAACATGCCTACACTACAGACGCAGAATATTATCTTCAAACAAGCTAGATAATACTGGAATCCTCCAAGTCCTTATCATCACGTAACTCCTTCATTACCTTGCGCGAAACAATCATAAGCAGTGAGCCAATAGCACCAACGACACCAACACTAACTACAATAATCGTTTGGTCAAAAGACCTGTTTGCTGTCGTCGAATTAGCTGATGTTGGCTTGTTTTCCAACGTCGCAGCATTATTAATGGAGTTGGACTCCTCAGCTATCACACTGTATGCGCTCGATCCGGAAGATGATGACCACATCTGCGTCTTATCGTCGAATGAATCAGGACGCAGCGGCGATACATTAGTTGGCGGCGCATTGGTTGGCGGTGCATTAGTTGGCGGCGATTGGTTGGCGGTGCATTAGTTGGCGGCGCATGAGTTGACTGTGTAAAGGGCAAATTCGTTAATGGGGTAGGCGCAAGAGCTGACTGTGTAGCGGGCAGAACCGGTGACTGTGTAGACGGCAGAGTCGGTGATTGGGTAGGCATATGAGCTGTTGCCATGTTAGGAGTACCCACTTTAGGGGTCATCTCGTCGTTAGTCGACTTGCTGTCCAAGCTGTTACCATCACCGGCGTTGTATGATACATGATTAACCGAATTATCAATACCATCGTATCCGTCGTCACCGTGGTTCAAATTCCCTGTATGTATCTTGCTACTGGAATCGTTCAAAGTCATAATGTCGCAGTCTATGGACGCTGACGTACTCGACGCGGTAGTTTGTACAATCGGCATAGGTGTCGTCACCTTTACTAAACTATTGAATGAAACAGACGTGTCACTGTTTACTTGATTGACATCCTTGGGGTTGCTGTCTGAATTCCACAGGCTCTTCGTCACCGTCGTGAGTTTCTGGGTCGAGTTAGTCGTGACAACTCCCATGTCCACATCACCTAGTGAGTTCAGTCCAAAAGCTGCATTCTCGTTCGTTTGATCACCATAATTCTCACGTAAAAGAAGACGACCATTGGCCGTTTGGAGCAATAGTGTCAAGATTAATACCAGTATGAGCGTCCATCGACGCCATCGTGATACCAAGTACACATACATGCGACTTTCGCCTTTTAAACGACGGACGTTTTACAAGGTCAAGACCGGCACTTGCGCGGAGATGAGACTTGAGTAAAGTACTTACAACTCGACAATCCTGTCAGTCCGTCCGTCAATCTGTCAATCAGTCCGTCTTTTCCACTTGTTTTCTTCCTATCGCTTTAAGTATTTAGATGGAGAAATACCAAATAAACAACTTGACAGCTTTGTACAAAGTCGGTAACGAGGTCCGATTGACCCATTGACTGAAACATATGGTCGTCTTTATTGAGCTCCCCAGCCAGTAGCAAAGAAATCTCATATACGGTTTCGTAAATGTGTAATGCGACGAAAAGATACGCAAATTATCACATTTACTACGGTTATTTTTATATTGAAATTTGAAAATCTGAGATTTTAGAAACGGAAAATTTTGACCAACCTTATTTCTAATTAATCGATCGATAGAAATACCTTATTATGATTTTGCAATTTTATTTATCTGGACCCTTTAATGCAATATTTCCAGTATGTATAGTGAAGCGCCCAGCATGAGTATACATCTACCAAGATATCTATCACGTTGGCGTCTTACATGAGATGTAAAAGTCTTGTAACGCTCAAATAACTGAATTTTTGCCAAGTTTATGTCGTGACGGATCCAACAGTTTCACAGTTCGTTGGCCAATACCGCCTATTTTTTAATCATGTGAAGTAACAAAAAGGCCTAATGTAACTCAAGTTCAAATTCACAACATGTAATTTATATATTTGCAGTCATTCACTAGTATCTAATTTATTTCAAATCTGTCAGTCCATGCTTTTCAAAAATGGCTTTCAGCTCAGCAATGACCCGTACAAGTTCCACGTGAGCCTTTCGTAACGGTTCTAAACCTTCACCTTCTCCCACGTGAAGCCCTTCAAGAATGTGGCTACGTGAAGGAATAGATCCCAATGCAGTGTTAACACCTTTGCGGACAAGCCAGGGATGACGCTTGCCTAAAGTCTCTTCGTAAGCCTTACTGGCACCATTGAAGCAATTGTCTTCGGTTGAATCAAGCAGTGTCAGACGCACGCAAGCCTCCACAAACTGAATGAACCACAGTAGCCGCAGCAAACAGCGCGAGCACGATGGCTTCTTCTTGCCACCCACATCGGCTACTCCAAGGCTTACTTCGTGTTCAATTACTGCTTTCACACTCTGCTCCTTCCAAGACTGTGACGAAGATGGCTCAGACCAAGTATCAGTATTTTGATCAATCGAGGTAAAGTAGGCTCCAACGGTACTCCCTGCAAATGAAGTAGCACGGCCAAATACGCCCAAAAAGCCACAGATGACAGTGCACGTGTTCATGAAGCATCCAAGACTCAGGTCACCACCAGGAGCACGATTCTTTGCCCCTTCTTCAAGAGCCACCACAAGCTTGTCCACCGTAAAGCCTTCGTCGTCATTGTTTCGTTCATTCACAGCTACCTCCAAATCATCATCCTGAGACGTATGAGGTGACGAAGGTGCTGGCGAGTCAGCAGTACACAGCTCCCTAGCGACGCTAGTATTCACCATTGGCGATTCCGTTTGCTCCTGACGACCACTGCTCGTACTCACTCGACGTCGTCGGCGACGACGTTGCTTGAGCGACTTGTTCACAGCTTTGTTTTCTTTTGCGGCTAGCAATTCGTCAAATAGCACCAAGCCGAGCAAGTACGTGCCCAGCGTCCGCATCGAGAGCAAGTTGTCAAGTGCACCTTCCATGAAAGAATACGGCGGCTCACTTAAACTTGATGCAGCAGTAGCAGGAACCAAAACATTTTCTTCAGTGCCAGTCCATCGATTGAAGTAAATCACACGTAGGATCACAAGCACTGCAAACACTAGCAGCGAAACCCAGTGGCGCGCACGCAAATGCGACAAGTACACAACCCGTCTGACGTTTTCCCGTTCAATTCTCGTTGCAACCTGCTTTGATGCAGCAGGCGCATCCTTAGGACTCGACTTAGGCGCTGTATTTTGGCTGTAAAGCAATGACGTTTTCTGCTTCGTCGGCACTGAGTGGCGACGTGACGATCCATTGGCAGTGTCTTCCTGTTTCTGTATCAATGCATCTTCACTGCGAATCGCTGTCAACGGTGGAGATGAGTCTGGAAAAGGTTCCACCATGTCTTCTCCGCTACCATTCTCCGTATGCAAATAATTCTTTGCGCAAGGATCACATAGTCTCGATCCTTTCTTTCTTTCAAGTCGTCGATGAAGTTTCATCCTGTTCTTACTACAGTCATCGCAGATCTTTTGTGCACACATTCGACACGTATGTTTAGCTCGAAAGACTGTAAAGGAACGTTCACATAGACTACATCCTTTTGCTTTATTAACTAAAGCTTGACGATCTTGCTGCACAACATCATCTTCATCCTCATCTACTTCTTCATTCAGCTCAAGTGGAGGTAAAGGAGGTACGGTACGAGTCACGAGTTTTTCCTTATGAACTGGACTCTTGCGTACTCGTACATTTTTAATCTCATCTACTACTTTTTGACGTAATTTACGACCACTTCGACTAGTACTAGACGTCCAGGGTGGTGACATAACAGGAAGAGAAGGTGGAGATGTACTAGGTGTCATTGGTGGTGGTAATATCACACTTGCTTCGCCCATGTTAGACAATTGACGAGGAGATAAAGAAGGGCTATACTCAGTCGAAGATGTAGTCGACTCACTTGTGCCAAATGACAAATGAAAAATCGACTTTTGATCAAATGAGCGAATACAATTGCATGCACGACGCATCGTTTAGCCCGGCTCTTTAAGACCCAACCAGCCGCCACACGCGTGTATCAGTTAGAGAGAACTGGATTTTTTTTGACTTGCGTTTTAGCGTCATGGGACGAAATAAACGTGGTCGACACTATTCTTGTTACTATACAAAAATCAACTTGAGGAAGATTTGCAATTGACAAGATGCCATCATATTTTCGGAAAAGATGACCAGGTTCGTCAAACGGGTTGAACTTTCCAATTTACGGCGTTTCGACAGGCACTGGCAACTCGTGAGCTAATGAAACTACCTTGTCGCGGTATTTCTGCACACGTTGTTTGCTACCTTTAGTGTGGTAATCAAAGAAGCATACCGACCTGACCATATGAATAAATACCGGTATGCTGTCAATCGTATTTACACGTCGGTGGTTATGATGGACAATAAGTTGTGGCAACTTGTCTGACATGATAGTCACTATAACGAGGCCATATGGTTTGTAGTGAAAATGGTAATAGAAAGGGAAAGATGAATATGCACTAACTTTTGTCATACGAGCTCGCCTCTCATCATCCATCATTAGTCGTGTATTTGTAATCTATCTGGTAGGTATTTATTTACTCTATTGACAGACGTAATAATTGGTTTGATTCCGAGCACTATCAATTGTTTCAAAGAAAGGATCAGTTTATACAAAAGCATGGCTCGAATTATTTTAATCGAGTAATGAGATGGGCCTTATATTAACACAAAGCATACATACAGACATGAATACAACTGATATAAGCAGCATGATAGTGTTTAATTGATAAATATGATGCCAAGTCTATAGAGTCGCATGCTGTTATCGTGTTTACCTACTATCCTACTAGTAGGATAGTAGCTACAAAGAGCTTTGTTGCAAGCTTTCTAGATCTCCCAACGCACTCAGTTCCATGCACTTGTCATCCTCATCATGTTCTCACAGCACTATCATCAGGCAAAACATCTATTACCAATCACTCTCTCTACCTTCTTTTGCTTATGGATTTATCAACTTATGATACTAAAAGCCTAAGACTGCCGACCTTACATCAACTTCATCTTCTGCACGCTCTTGAGCACCATAAAAGAAGCGACAGAACCAAGACCTGTCACTACAAACCCAATAGCGAGGGTGATCCAACCAATCCAAGCGCCAGGGTCTGGGAATGAATAGCTGCCAATGTCGGAAGACCAGTGCGGTTCTGTCCAAAGAGGCATTGACGAGTTCACGATATCAAAATGCAGCACCGTCGAGGTTCGCTTCAGTCCCGGCGAGCTGGCTTCGTGATGAAACGCACTCTTATTAGCGCATACACCTGGGTAGACACATTCCATTCCCTTTCCACCGTTGTTGCAGCCTTGGCTCTGTGAACATGATGCAGCAGCATCAGCAGTAGCATTCGGGACCATCGCGGACGCAAGAAAGGCACGAGTAAAGAATTCATACGCGTTCGGAAAGAGACGCACAGAGTAGTCATCGTCCGACCATGACTCATTAAGGAGCGAGAGTATCGAATTGTCGCTGTTCTTGACAATCAGCATTGATCGGTCGACGTCAATTGGACCGGAATACAGCGTTGTCGGCACAGAATAAGATGGAGATGCCGACTCAGGCAAGCTCAGATACTCAATAAGTGTCGTTTTCATGAACTGTGAGTAACCTTTCATGAGCTCGCAATTCCAGTCCGTAGTGACACACAACAGCATAGACTCGACCAGCCATGTATCAACCTTAATCTTTCCCAGCTGTGCTGTCGTCGCATTACTCGAGGCGAGAATGAATACACTCTCTGCCAGCACCTGCGCAGCCTTCACGACGGCTTTGATATCCAGAAGGGTAAACTCATCATGACGACTGTTGTATGTCCTTTTCGAAGTGTAAGTGTCATTATATCCAGCAAGCACCGCACCTACGAGGTTGCGCTGGCCGTACTCAGCATCATTTACAAACGATGTCAACGGTGTAGGCGGAAGAGAGCCTGTGCTGCCTTCGAAAACAGCAGAAGCAGCTGACGGTGCATTCAAAATGGCGTCAATAAGATCACTAGTATCGTTTGCGTAGGGGTTCACGTGCACAGTAAAGTTTCCTGACTCGGGTAGAATCCCCACCTGGTCAACTGCGATTGCGTACGAAATGTTTGCAAGTTTCAAGTTAGCAAATTCCGTACTACTCAGCATCGGAGAGGTGCAAAACGTGTTGCCCATTGGCGACGACGAGTCGTCAACAGGAAAAGCACAGGCTCCTTCTGGGTCATTGGTAAATTGCTGTAGGTCCGCAAGAAACTTTCTTGATCCAACAAATCCAAACTTTTCCGCCTGAAAAGCTGCAAACACGACCTTCTTGTCAAAAGCCGAATCCGGCAGTCCCTTGAGTGCATGAGCTGCTGCCAGTAGAGCCACAAATCCCGACGCCCCTGTATTAGCCCCTGATGCTAACACGTGCGACAGCGATGTTGTATCCATTCCTGCCATAGCCATTACAATCTTCTTCGACTTTAAATTGCCTCTCATGGCCCACGAACTTTGTCCTCCAATCGGGTCGCATTTCGGATTGCGAGTGCCGTAAATATTGACAAAGTTCAGACACTTGATCGAATCCATATCTTGTGGTCCATAGTAGTAGTTCATAAAGGCCTTATAGGTCGCTCCATTGCCTTGTTTCATATTAATCTGGGCACGTTTCGTAAACTCTGCGCCAGTCGTCGCATTCTGCAGCATCACAACAGGAAACGGCAGCATCTCAGCCAACAGTCCATTACCTGTTGGATTCCATTTAGTTTTTGTATAGGAAAACGGATTCAAGCGTCCATCAATTGTGCCATCTCCTTGAGGCATTGAGACCTCAAACGACGCGTTCGTAGCGTCGGAATCAGGAAAGAGAAAGAGACCTCCAATTCGATCAAGACCTGATGAAATAACGTCGTAGCTCAATAGAGATTCAGCCATAACTAAGACGTGCTTAGTATCAGTAATTGGTGCTTTAGCATGACCTGATACAAATTTTTTAAGGTCATTTGAATTCATAACGGGATAAAGTGGTGCCATGTCAATAGACGATAGACTACGACACCCGATACTTCCTTTTGAATGAAACAAACGAGAACACTCGCCACCTTTTGTAATCAAGTGCTCAGGTCGTCCTGCAGTCACAGCAGCGGCTTCTAAACGACATAATTGAAGCAATATGAACGCCCCAGGAAGCAGCAGCGAGAAAACGGGGAGACGCATTGATTCGAGTTATTATAGTTCGAACTGGATTTATAAGCACAATATTTTATTATAACAAGTAAATATTTGCATTATCAGAAGGTTTCGTGATTTTTGATTTTTCTTATAGTCGTACAAATTCTCCTATCTGTCGTACAAAGTATTGGTTGTCGTACAACTTATTTGCTTCATTACAAATTGATGACGGAGCGACGTAAGCTAAATGTACGTGAGTTGCTTGAATTAGAACGACAGATTTACCAGGAAAGCATTGATCGGGTACTAGAACAACAAGAAAAACTGAATAAAGGTATATTAGATGAATTTATACGGCGGTGTAAACCGTTTGAGACGGATAAAGAGCGGGAACTGCAAGTGGCACAATATCAATATGAATTCTCGCAACAAGACGCATTGAGTCTATTTGAATTTGATGTGCAGCAAGCTCATGATGTTTATCGCTCGGATCGACAACAACTTCAGCATAAGTTGCTGGAAAGAATACGACGACAACGACGGCGAATTGAAAAGAGACTCCAGATGGTGGATCAACAAGTTCTTGACACGAGCAACTTAAAAAAGAAAACGAGACAGAGGGATCATGGAATACAAGTAGAAAAACTCGAGCCAAAGTTGCTTGAACAACAATTACGACAAGCGCAACAGAAAACAAGGACAAGTTTTAATTTTCGACACCTGTCGAAAGGAATATTGCCAACACCTGAACGAATTGTGGAGAGTGTTGTCGAGGAGTGTACAAAGCTACAACGGAATCGAGAACGTGAAGAAGCATGGAAAATGGAAGAAGAGGAAAGGGTGGAGCAACGAAGAAAAGTGGTGGTTAATGCAGACACACAAGAGTTGCTGTATCATGGATCGTTTGAAGAGAATGGAGAGATGATGGATGAAACGTTTCGTGTTGGAGATGCAGTGATGCTAGTATCGAGGTTGACCGAGGAAGATTTTCATGGATTTGTGTCGGCAATTACAATGGATGAGGTGAAATTGGTGCTAGTGTGTGGAACTCATGTACGCGTGACAATTGCTCGACTTCGTTGTGGACAGTGTACACTACGAAAGCAGACAAAAGCAAGCGAGTTATCTATTGAGAAACGAGAAGATGAATTTTTAGTTGAAGATGCTACCAATCTTGAGGAGCTGTTACGGGATCCACCAGATGCTCGACGACATGCTGCTGCAATCATGAGTATATAGAAGCTCAATATTTATGCTGCTAGCGTACGTGGATTATTCTTTGTTTTGATAAATGTTTGTGCTGTATATGCAGGTCAACTCAAGCGAAAGACAACAACTGATGCCCGGCGTGGCTTTTAATTGGCATAATACAGTTCATTGCTACTTACAGCTTCTCTATTCTGATTGTCGAAGAATAAAGTGATACCGCATGCTTACTGCGTCTTTTTGTGCGCTGCCGAATGATCAGTAGCGTCAACTGACAGCAGCGGACGGAAAGTGTTGATGAACGTGTAGCGCGAAAAGGCTACAAAGAGGCGACGGTACCATACAAACTGACTTTGATGCAATGCCATCGCATTGTAGTTCCACAGCGGTCTGAAGATAAACACGAGTTGTCGTTCGTCTTTACTCTGGCGTGACAACCACAACGACAATGCCGTATCCAGTAGTCCCACATACTTGCGTAAGATATTTGTGCTTTCCAATGCCCACCCTCGCACAACCTTTGTCTCTTTTGTAACTTCATTAGCTACAGCAGCATTGCATTTCTCGTGTTGTTCACGTATAGCTCGTTTCACACCGTAGTATGTAGCAATGTGGTTTGGATGACCTGAGACTCCATAGTCATCAAACGTAAAAACCTGCAAGTACCAAGCACATAATTGTCAGCTCTAGTGTAACAACTCAAGTAGTTTCCAGCCAAGAACATCACACTAACTGCATCAATCTCGTTCTTTTCCACATAATTTAGTACAATACAAGCTATATGTGCCTCATCCCATTGCGTATTCATACCATCCTGTAGCTCAGGATCTTCTAGTACGTGGGCGTGATCCATTGACAATCCAATGTACGTGGCACAAGCTTGAAGTTCCTTCTCTCGAACATTGCCCAATCCATCATAATTACCACGAGATAGACAGAGCAAATGCGTCTGCCAATGGTCATTGGACTTATTATCGTCTTGTTTACTTTGTAGCGAGTGGAGCAAAGGCAGGAAAAACATACTCTCATCATCGGGATGCGCCGTGACAAGTAAAGCCCGTTTATATTGAGCTGTTGTTGTCGATGAAGACACGGAATTTGTTTCAGAAGTAGATGAGATGAAAAATACAAATGCTGCAGTAAGGAATAACAATACATTGGCACTGAGTAAGAAGTACTTGCATATCTCTAGTAAAGTCTGCAGCTCGTCATCATCCCAATCGAATAATATCATGGTCATGACAAATTCTCTTTGAGTTTGTATGGAATTGTGTTATGTACGATATTTCAACATAGCTACATCATGGGAGTAACGAGCTCTTGGTAATGACCGAGGAATGCTGCTGCTGTATTGGCGATTTGTACAATGGAATGATGCTCCAGTGATTGCATCTTGATCATAAACTTACTGCGCGTGATGTCACGAAAAGCCCTTGAGTTTAGCAAAAAATACGCGATGGACAATGCGGAGACGCGGACGTTGAGCTCTGAAATTGTGAATGACGTTGGGTGCTCGCCTTCAAGTGGGATTTCGAGGATGTATGGCGCTAGAATGTTCACTCCATCACCATCAATGAACTGCTGTTGTAATTGAGGGTCTATCACACAATTACAAATGCCATCAATTGCAAATTCCACAAGTTGATTCTTTCGTGGAGCTTCAGGTGACGATGCTGTGGAAAATCGACCTTGTTGAGACTCTTGCGTGGTCTTTTCATCGTAATTGGCATTGGTAACGTCGCTGTTTTCTTGATCAGCAGCCAAGATATCAAGAAATAGATCCATGACGCGCAGACGGCCAAGGGATGTGTAGTTGATAGGGGCATAGGCGAAGTTGGCCAAATGTGCCACCACTTCTTCTTTCCGAAGATTGTCAGGCGAGCGCTGGAACTCATCTACCAGCTGCTGCAAGTATTCGTGACGTGGTGGTGCGTGTTGACCTTGTCGCTCTTGAAGACGCTCACGTGATGGCAGCATAATTGTTTGTGCACTAAGTTAAACGCTTCGTGGATGAAAATATTAATGGACGACACGACTTGCAATGTGTCTAGAACATAGTCATTCAAATTCCTTCAAGTCTTCGACTAACATATAGAGATGAGAAGAAGTCTACATTGTTATCACTGCTTTCTCTACAAAAGCTTCTTGTAAGGTTTGATAGGGTTCACAATGCTGCGGCACATTGGATTCGTGCAGCCCGCGCAGTTTAGCGGATACACTGACGAGTGTAGCTCGTTTGAGTCCAGGTGTTGCTTCACAATGTCGGCCTGTGCTTTAAACAGCAGAGGCTCATCATTCAGCGACGGGCACCGCTTAAAGTTCTGCAAAGGGAATGAAATAACACATGCATGTTAAACAAGTCATCTCTACTAAACACGATCAAAAGCTTTACCGACCGTAATGCCAGCTTCCTTGGCTTCTTCGCCGTACTCGATGTCGATCTCGTACAGTGTTTCAATGTGGTCCGACGTGAAAGCAATGGGCACGGCCATAACATGCCTGCAATCATAGCAGCCAAACAAGCAAGGTTAGAACGTTACACAAAACAAGGTAAGCACTAAATGACGAGATCCAGACGCACTTGTGCCCTTGCTGTCCATAGCGCTTGATCACGTCGCTGGTGCTTGGCCCCATCCACGGCAGGTAGCCAACTTTAGACTGCCAGCTAAGAATGTGCGGGTTCTTCCCAGCCAATTCCTTCATCACACGATCCGCCGTAGCAGCAATTTCGTTCACGTACGTATCACCCTTGTACACGGTCTTCATGGGCACTGAATGCGCTGAAAACATAATAATGACTCTTTCTCTGTCCTCCGGTGCATACTGGTTTAGTCCAATCTTGACACGATTAGCTATAGCAGATATATAGCCGGGATGCGTATTCCAGCGATCAATAAGTGACCACTTGAAGTCCTCCTTCATATCCAAACGTTCCAATTCACGCCACAAATGGTTCATACTTGATCCCGATGTAGTACACGACCATTGCGGATACTGTGAGAAAGCTACAGCACGTGTGACACCATCTTTCTTCATCTGCTTCAATGAATGCTCTGTCAATGGATTCGCATAGCGAAAAAATACATAGTGCTTATGTGGAGCACTCTACATCAAACAAACAAACAAACAAACAAATAGTCACATTGAAAAGTTAACATCATCAATGTTTCTTTAGTTTTTCAAATCTTTTCATACTTCCGGTCGAATTTTGTCCAGTATATTGCACAAATTCTCTCCTTGAATGTTTGTCCACTTGAAAATAGGAGAACCACCTCCAATTTGAGCATATTGGTCTACAATTTGAGGTGTACGACGTTTGGCTATCCATGGACCAACATAATCCTGTACTGGACCCATTGGGATCAATTCTGGATCTGTAAAAAGGTTTGTAAGAAAACTTTGAACCTCTGATAGTGTAGATGGTCCACCCATATTAAACATGGCAATGGCAGTAGGAGATTTCTTCTTCGTCATCATAGTAGCAGAACGAATGGATGTCATACTTATGGCAAGTAATTTACTAAAGTGAGACTTTGATGGTCGGACACAACAAGTACCGATTTCGAAAATGATTTTATTATAGCGAGTTTGAGAGGAAATAGAAAGATTACATACGCTAAATGAATAATAATACAATAGACGAACGGACGACGAATGATTGAGTACAATTACGTGCTGTCTGTCGTGTGTCACAACGATGACGTGTTTTCTTTATTTACATATAAAAGTCAGTTTACTATCTATTATGTTAATTTGCAATTACAATAGGATGACTCAAATACATTTGCCTACACATCAGTGATACACTGGTAATGACTTCAAAAAAAGACTTCTTTCAGTATGAAAAGAATAAAGTAAGCAGCCTTAGTGGAGCAGTCAGCAAAATCAGTCGATCTACTTTGTCCTGATATGATTGTAGCAAACAGAAAGTACAGATTAGCGTCGTACCGGTAATTATAAGGTTAATTGAATCCAAACATTCTCTTTGCGGTATTGGTCGGTATCTCTCAGAATCTTGATTGACACACATTTTCAATTCAATTAACCTAATGCCGCGCGAGATCATCACTCTGCAAGCAGGCCAATGCGGTAACCAGATTGGCATGGAGTTCTGGAAACAGTTGTGTCTCGAACACGGTATATCTGCAGATGGAATTGTACAGGACTTTGCAACGTCAGGTCATGATCGGAAGGATGTCTTTTTTTATCAAGCTGATGATGAGCATTACATTCCTCGTGCTTTACTCATGGATTTAGAGCCACGTGTGATCAATAGTATTAGTACATCTACCTTTAGAAATTTATATAACCCTGAAAACTATTTTGTATCAAAAGAAGGAGGTGGTGCAGGTAATAATTGGGCATCCGGATATCACCAAGGAGAGTGTCATCACGATCAATTAATGGAAATGATTGATAGAGAAGCCGATGGATCTGATAGTCTAGAAGGGTTTGTTTTGTGTCATTCAATTGCTGGAGGTACTGGTTCTGGTATGGGCTCGTACTTACTAGAGAATTTAAATGACCATTTTCCGAAAAAGCTCATCCAGACGTACTCAGTGTTTCCAAATCAGTCGGATTTTCAAAGTGACGTGGTAGTACAACCATATAATTCTCTTTTGACTATGAAAAGATTGGTATTAAATGCAGACTCTGTAGTAGTACTGGATAACACAGCGTTAAACAGGATTGCAGTGGAAAGGTTGCGAGTGGAAAATCCAACAGTGTCCCAATTAAATTCTCTTGTGTCGACGGTTATGGCGGCAAGCACCACAACGTTGAGATATCCAGGATATATGAATAATGATCTTATTGGATTAGTGGCGTCGTTGATCCCTACTCCACGATGTCATTTTTTGATGACAGGGTACACTCCTTTAACGATTGATGCGCAGGTATCTACAGTTAGAAAGACAACGGTGCTGGATGTGATGCGGCGGCTATTGCAACCGAAGAATATTATGGTGAGCACGTCTACCAAGACAGGGTGCTACATCTCGATCTTGAACATCATCCAGGGAGATGTGGACCCCACTCAAGTGCACAAGTCTCTGCAACGTATTCGAGAACGTAAACTTGCGCGATTTATTCCTTGGGGACCTGCATCGATTCAAGTGGCGCTGTCGCGTAAGTCACCGTACATGGAGACGGCACATAAGGTGAATGGCCTTATGCTAGCCAATCATACGAGCATTGGAGCACTATTCCACAAGTTGCTGCTGCAGTACGATCGTCTTAAAAAAACATGGTGCTTTTATCGAGAACTATCGAAAGGAGCCAATGTTTGCGGAGAATCTTGACGAGTTCGATAGCGCACGCGAGGTGGTGCAGAATCTGGTGGACGAGTACAAGGCTAGTGAACGCGCTGACTACGCGACGTGGGGACAGCCGTCCTCTCAAACCGCTTCTAGCGAAATAGATGACGTTCACATGTCTCATTAGACAGCTAAACACAAGCTCTAGTTTTAGTCAGCGCATTCGTCATCGGCCATTAATTTTAGTAAGACCACGTGGTCTATTTAATGTTTTGCCTGCTACTTTGGCCAGTTATGTCAAAAAATCTGCTCACGACGAATGACGCTTTCATTGAATTTGACCAAAAAGACAGTCTTGTTTCGCTGTCCCCCAGGAACTTCAACGGTGTGCGCTGTCACGTCCGCCAAAAAGCCGCTGCTGCATAGGATGCCACGCACAATACCTGCAATATACGCGGCGCAGTCGAGTTGTCCAAGATCAGGTGGTACGGACACAAATTTGTTTGTAAGTGGCTCCAGTTCATGAATCATATACTCATTCACGTTCTCCGTGCTGCGCTCTAATGCATCAGCAGCTTTGCCAAATAGCGCTTTCCAACATGTGGATACTATAAATTGTAGCATTGCAAGCAACCGAGTTTCACGCTTTCCAGATTTTTCACGATGACACAAAATCTCTACAACACGAACACCTACGCCAAATCCAGCACCGTTCAGTCTGTATCGTTAGCAGTTATAGCATATACATATTAGCAAACGTGATCACGGACTTGGATAAAACCGATTGATACTAAAGTAGTTCTCAAGTCGCACCGGTTTTCAAGATCCGAGATGTTTTGGACACGGCCTTGAAAATATTGCACCATTTCTGAGAATAGAAAAGCAAAAGCACTTAAACTCACCTGCAGTCATTTCAATACAATGAGGAAATCAATGAGATAGTTTAAGACGTATCGAGCGGATAAAGTTGTGTGATATGTGGTAGATAATCCTGTATATGGATGAACAATACTTACCTCACTCTTACCACGACTTAGAGGACGGTCTAGAATGTGCAAGTTTGTCGCGGAGACGCCGGTACTCCGACGTCCACCTTCCATCATTATCCTTTCTTGCTTTAGTGACTGCGTACTTTGGTTGTACTTACTGGTGACCAATGTCGTTATCTATAATTTGTAAACTAGTTACAATTTGCATCAATTTGTCTGTTTTAAAGACTTCGCATGTTATTGTAAAGTATACATGAATTATATGAGTTTTGTTATTAGCAAAGTATTATTGTCACTAACGTAATATTGTGCTGCACAACTCCAAAGACAAAACGTTGCTCTTACCTTGCAAATATGAAAGAGAAATATCATGAGAAAACATATTGTGTGTCAAGTCAACATTAAGCTTGTGTCGACAACGACCCTTTCATTACGGTACGTTTTGTTTTTGCCTGTGGATTTCGACCGCTGACTTTTCGGTTGTCTGGTGTAGAAGACTACACGTTCTTCCTCTGGTGATAGGTGCTGACTGGACTAATTGAAAGCTATTCTTGTGGGCCAAGATATGTTTAGGTTGTACACTGTTGGCAACGACGACAAGAAAGCAGCTACGATAACACATGCGGATCTCATTGTTCTTGAGTTGTTGCCATTGAATGTTTCTCTGTTCTCACCATTGTTGATCGAAGATTCAACTGCACAACTACTGGATTGAACGCGCTGATTGAAGTGCATCGTAATAGGTGTTCATGCTTTTATACCTCTCGTATCGTATACGATCTGTCTCACTTGCATGTAACTACTTACTTGATCCCCAGCTGAGTCTTACAATCGTGACAATACCATTTGCCTGCCGGTTGGTCCGTGAGCCCCACGCAGCTGAAGTGGAACCACTCGTACTTGCAGTCGTTATTCTCACAGCCCACAATTTGTCCAAATGACATACGTCGGCAACTGCAATAAATAGGTTCATTTAGGTCAATGGGCAGATCCTCGAGGCCAAAAGCACCTGATCTGTGGCAACCTGTGGCATCGCCACAGTAGTATCGGCAACTGACTTTTTTCTTGACAATGCACTTCCTGCACTGGAAGCTTTTGACACCACGGGTATTGTCGATTTGTCTTTCATTCCAGCACTGACAGCTCCACTTGTATTCTGTTTACTGCGGATACTGGTCACATGAGGTGTTGCAGGACTTTGACTAGTGTAATGTAATTGATGTACCGTTGTTGTGGCCGCCGACGTCTTTTGCTTTTTGCGTTGAGGTCTACTATCCTCCTGATACTCTCCATTTGCCCTTAATAATGCTGCATAACTCTCTGTCCAGTCGACGAATATGATGATCAATAATATCGCAACTCTGAGCTGCAATTGCAACTTTCTCGTCCAGCTTCTGCACTACTAGATCATGTTTCATCTTCAACCTCTCAACTTGTTCTTACCAATAAGTTCTTGTAGTTCTTCTTCAGTAGGTTCACCTTTCGTCGTGTCATTGCATCGAGCAACTATTTTTTTATCGAGATTCAATTAAGTACGCCTTTTGCTCACTTTTCAGGTCTTCCAAGAGTGGGTACGATGATATACAGATATGAGTTAAGGCACTTAAACAGGCGTACTATCGAATAGAGAACAGCTGAGCGATACTATGAACTAATGCGGGACCTGGACAAGGTAAGGTTCCTCTTAATTTCTAATGGCACATATAAATGCTTTCCAAACAATCTTCGACGTAGGTGCGCATGATGTGAGCGAGCGAATCTTTACTTGATATTTGTACAATTTGACAAAAACAAGCAACCGTACTTAGTCAAAAGTAACATTCACAAACTGTTCGGCAACATAACATTATGACTACATCTTACATAGTCAACCCAGATTGGTCTTTCTTGCATCAATCACTCACTCTTTTTTCAGTACATACATATAACTCCTCTTCGTTTGCCATTTTTACTCACAACGCCATTAATGCATTTCTATCTCTAGACTTGGCGCCTTTTGTCGTTGATTTCATTTGTGACACCTTTTGTCTTTAGATCCTTTTTCTACGGTCAATATTGTGTTGGCTATAAATTACGTCATATTTATCTTTCAATAGTGTCCTGTTCTTTCTTTGGCCTTTAAGCTTCTCTATCGAAACCTTCCTTTGGTGGTCGTGGCTTTTTTTCTTACAGTATTTTTCTTGTTCATTTTTACATTGCATGATCGTAGATATACCTATATTAATGATAATATTACGGCGTTTCCTTCTTTATTATGCAATGACTAAGGACATTCGTTTGGCAATGTCAAGTAGTCTGGCGTCTGCTGCTTTGCTGCCAGCTAATTTATTCGTTTAATCATGCTCGCGAGCATTGATTTAATCGCTGCTTTTTCCTTACTAGCGACTTAAAGACTGCCATCGAGAGGCCTTTTTGGGGTGAGTATTATGTGCACACCATACACCTTGATGGTAGTTAACGACACCTCCAACCCTAGCGTTGCGAGACACAACAGCGACAATTTTCTCTGTCTGCTTGACATGATACGTCCCTTGCATTGGCCTTACACAAATTGGTCGTCAATCCTTATGCACTAACGTACTTGATGGCTAAGCACATATTGGAGTCAAAAGGTTCTAGACATTGCTACTCTGCTTATGTTCATTATTTGGCTAAGCAATTGGAGCCAACAAAAACTTTAGGGAACTATGCTTTCGGGCTTCGTGCCCGATGTAAGCATACCAGATCAAGCTTTCCCAAACATGTTGGATACACCCTTTTTATTTGTAGAAGCGTCTTATCTACCAACTACCGCTTAGATGTACGAGAACCACGGCATGAAAGATGGCTTGACATACATGTCCAGATAGTTCCCCTTCGGCTTGGCTGAGTTTAGCGTATTTTCCAAGGTTACCATAGATTGGTGGAATTGGGCGATGGCACCTTTCAGAATGGTCTCGCTGGAGAATGGAGGAGTAGTGTAGGCACTCAGCACTGATTGGGCCAGTGGAATCGGACGATAGAACTGTGCTGCCACGGCAGACAGCGCCGGGAATAGGTCGGATGTAATGACATAATCAAACGGGTCGACTTTCACCCCTTTTCTAGTTGGCAGTGGTGTATTGTACAGTGCTGGTGTACTGAATGGAGCCGCTTGGCTGTGCCAAGTTACTCTGCCGTTCATGAAATGATGTTTCACGGCGTTTCGAAACACCAGATTGGTAACGAGTTTGATGAGGTCTTCATAGCCCTTGAAGGCCAAAGGAAAGTCGTTGACGCCCCAGACAATAGACGCTCGGACTGCCCAAGTCTGTAACTCCATATCGCTTTGAATAGCATCTTCTGAATCGTAGTACGCTTTTATGTACTTAGTAACAAAGGTCTTGATAATGGAGTAGTACGTCGCGCCATGCTTGACGTAGCGGTGGTTTGGCAAGTACTCGAGCCCGTTCTTTGCGATATCAGAGGGAAAATCGTCTGTTATTGACAACTTTTGTAGTTCGTCGTAAGCAGCACGCACGGAGCCACTTGCTCCGAACGCCACCGACCGATCAAACGGTGAATCAACCGAAAAAAGGACCAAAACGCTGAGGAATTCAAGACCTATGTTGCCAAAGAAATGGTAGTTCAGTAGAGCGTAAATCGGGTGGGTTTCCGCCATGCTACGCATCAGCTCAATCTGGATCGGGATCGACACCACATGCACTTCCACAAAGTGTATGATTTGCAGATAGTTGAGTTCTGTCGCATCTAGTGCCATCTTTGCCAGTTGCCACTCCCCTGCCGAGTCTTCTTTTGTGTACGTTAGACCCGAATCAACGATTTTGATGGCCAAAGGCAGTAGTACACCGGTTTCAATGTTGTTACAGAAAAAACCAACGACATTGGGCGCGTACTTCGATTTTGTCGTGTTTAAATCCGTGTATTGCCCCATAGTCGAAAAATCCTGTACAAATACTTTGTGGTTTAAGATTGCAGTATTGATGGTGCTTTCGCAACACACTTCACGAACCAACGAGTCCGAAAGACAGTTGAGAGGTTCTGACCACTCGTTCAAGTTCACCAATTTGAGGTTGTAGCCGCGAATACCCAAACGTATGGCTCCAAAATTCTTGTCGCTATTGTCAAAGGCTTGAGGTATATTGATCAATTCAGCACTTTGAAGGGCGTCATAGGCCGCCTTGAAACTCTCCAGTGATTTGTACGGGCCTAACGACCGCAGTGTATTCTCGATTATCGATTGATTTTGGTTTTCGAAAGCAGATAAAGCTCCTACCTGGGAGGCCAATATCGAAGAGTATAGCGATGAATTTTTTTCCGTGGGTCCTGGGTTCTGCGGATAGAGCGTAGTTCCCACGAGGTATTGTCGATCAACGTTATGAATGTTGTTGGAAACTTCGATAACTTTTTCTTTTCGAAGCAAGTCGTTGGCCAGAGGAATACTCAAGGCTGCCAGAGTTGAAGGACAAATCAATGCATATGCACATGTCAGCACCGTGAAGATATCGGGCATTGCAAAGACGTTGTTGTGATGAAATTGGAAGAAAACGACTGAAGCAGGAGAATGAAAAATTGAAAATGAATGCTGTCCTTTGGAAGTTGAAAGGGTATTATTTGAGTCACACTAAGAAAGTGTCATTTTGATCTGTCTTAAATAATAGTTTGATGTGCGAGCAAAATAATTTGTTTTAGCTAAAGCTGGCTGACTTATGTATCGTGGTGTATCATTCCGATTTGAAACTGGAATTTTATAGGGTAGACGCTTGGGCTCCATCATTGGACAGCATTAGTAGTGAGAAATGACATGTTTTTTCGGATGGGACAAAGATACTTGAGCGCGTATCTTCCAATATTGGAGCTAACAGGGACCCAAACAATCAAAACGAGTAAGCATCTACGTCAAGTGCTTCCATTTCTACATTGGGTCTTTACATTGGACTAGCATTTCACCTATATTATTCGCCTATAACCCTTCATCATTGCCGAGCATAGTAAGTCATTGTATTGACCAATAGAATGGTGCTATCTCATAAGCTACAGATAGACTAAAGTATCCCGTACTACATTTACTTTTTTCAGACGAGACTAGAAATAGTGTCGCAGGTGCGATCACATCTCATCTTCGGCATTGAAAAGTTGTTAGATTTCGTAGTCTTTCGCGCAGTAGTAAATGTATGGACGGCTTTTGTGTCATACGCCGTACTTGCAAATACAAAGTAAGCTTTTGCAACCTTTGCCTGTGAATCCACAGCCAGGATGCTTTATCCAAAAGACTTGCTAATGGCTGCAAAAATCAATGCAATTACACGATGGTTAAAGTCATGCATGGACAGGAGCTAAGCCGACAGATATGTACTTTATCTTCACTGCACCTTAAAACTCGTGTCGATGTGACGTTGCAAAAGAATTGTCTAGCACCCGCTGCAAACGTCAGAGCCTCTCCAACAACTTCTCAGCTTTTTATGATCACGCATGTCTGCACCTAATGACTTGTTTCTTTACTCACCGACGACACTAACCTAAAGGTCATTTCTACCTTCGTCTTGAGTACCCTTCAAATCTGTATCCAGTGCTTCTTGAACATGATTTTGTAAAGAAGGCACGTCTGTCAGCAGCTTGAATCAGTAGCTCGTCCTTGAAAATGTGTGGACACAGTCTGCGGTACAGATTACGATTTTGTACATTGCCAGAGTAATTCAAATGCTTCAACGACATCGATCAAGACGAGAAAGAATTTGTATCCGGTTTGTTGCGTCCGAAGATTGTACTAACTGAGCTGGAAATCGATAGAATGAGTCGCATTGCACGAAGCAACCAGCGTGAACCGCATGAAGGTAGGGCAAGTAAAACAAATTAATCCATGTGTCTTTTCGTTACGCTCTTCCGTCTAAAACTTAGACACGTCACGACCCACGAGGACCGCCTTGAGCCAGTCTAGTGGCACCTGTAGACGGAGTCGCCAGCTTCCCAGCTTGGTTAAATACGCACTGCGCCACAGGAACCAGGCTTTCCAGCCAGTAAGTGTTATTCGGCCGTCGTTACTGGGGTGGGCCTCAAAAAGGCCCTCATAAGAACCTAAGTATGCCATCATGCCCTTGCTCTGAAAAGTATACGGCTTCGCAGGCGTCGGGTTCTTGCCACGGAGCAACAAAGTAAGGTAGGTTGCCTGAGACTGTGCCTTCTGGGCAGTAGCTGGCAGCGGGTAATCCAAAATCTCGGCGCAGTCACCAATTGAGAAGACGTAGGAGCGGCATGGCATTCCCCATGGGGCTTTCTCTTCAACCTCTGCAGCCCCCAACACCTGGCAGTACTGATTAGTCAGGATGTTGCCACGCTTACTCTTCTCAAACACGGTGAGAGACTTAGTAAGCTCGTTTGGTCCCACTCCAGCAGTCCACACGACGAGACCAGCTGGGATCTTCTCGCCACTGTCAAGCGTAACACCGTTCGTTGTGACTTCAATGCAGCTCTTCTTGATAATTTTCATCGTGCCACGTTTCTGAATCTTGCGCAGCGCCACACCCCAACCACGACAAAATGCAGCAGACGCTGTTTTTCCTCCGGTGTCACGCCTGGCTGCGTAGCGAGCTCAAACTTTTAAGGATCCGATTGCGGATTTTCTGCGCGTGGTGGATCTCTTTGAGAAAAAAGGCATGCTCCTCTACGCCAGGCAATCCAAACGTTAGTGGTTTTGAGCCACAAGCCAGCACTAGGGCATCGTACTTGATGTTATACTTGCGATCGTGACTCCCTGTAACGGGGTTAAACGTTACGTTATGGTGTGAAGAACACATAAGTAAGAGAAATGAGATACACCATGTCGTTATAGCCACTTGTAACTTTTCAATTTGCCTTGTCGAGTCCAATTGGACGCAGCTAAAACAGAGGAATCCTGCTTTTTCCACGCCCCTCCTGCTTCAATACTATAGACGTTGATACTGCAGTGATGTCGCCTGCTACATCAGTGGAAGCTGATACAGTGTCAACAAATTCACACCGACCATCCCAGGCACAGGCCACTGTGGTGAAGCGTTTTGAGAACTGGGAAGCCAGAGGACCAAAGAGAAAGGGGCTCGCCGATGAGAGGCGACCGTTGGGTAAGGGACAAAGAGAAAAGGCGACAAAGAGGGGGAACAACCGATGGATGGAAAGGATTCACGGTCAAAGCTCGCTAGCTAGCACCATTCAAAAGTGTTACCACGGTCATCCGGTGGACCGCAGTTCCTCAAGGTGGACGACAGTCCTTCAAGGTCGACCTGGTCTATCATTGGTAGACCTCGGCCTTTCAATGTCAACCATGGTCTTGTGGTGGAGTGATTTTCAAAACTGCGTAATGAGACCCCAAGCCACTCACTGTGCCGGACTGCTGACTGTTGGAGGGGTCCCCCTATACCACGTATAGACCTTCTCTCAACGACATACCAATAGCTGTCGGGTTGCACTCTTCGGAGGACCTGGTTGAGATGTGATGTCGGCCTTGAGAGAGGTCGACCTTGAAGGGCCTAGAGTGGACATACTTCACTCGATAGGCAGGCAGGTGGTCACTTGGTCGAATAAGTCGAGGGTGGACTTATAACCAAATTCTTCAGGAGAGATTCTCAACCCTGGCCTTTTCCGTCCTTGATATCTCAGGGGTGTTAACCGCCTGGCCTTTACTTGCTCCCGGACCACTAGGGTAGGGAGACCGCTTCCGATAGCGGGTCTATTGGGGGGGGTGCTACTCAGACGAACCCACAGTCCAAATATATCCTAGGGCTCGATTCGCACTTGGGTCTTACCACACAACTTTCTTCGACGGGGGGGGCAAAATATATCCGTTCCCGGAACAGGTGGGTAGACTTAGTAAGTTCCTTGAGAGCACACAGAGGCATGCTATGTAGATTGCAAATTGATTATTATATAATGTAGTTCTATCTTTTGCCCTCTTTACCTATCTATACCCCGAGACCTGATGCATGATTCAGCTTGGCTTGAATATATCGACTGAAGGGCTTAGAGGCCGAGAGTGCAGGGACCGAGGGACCGAGGATATGGGGACCGAAGGGCCAGCGCCTATCAACTGAGAACCGAGGTCTATTGATGAAGGACCAAGGTCGACCTTAAGGGACCGGGGCCGAGAATCCACCGACCGAGGGGACAAGGTCTTCCGTTGTGAAAAACCGAAGTCTACCAATGATAGACCAGGGTCGACCTTGAAGGACCGGGGTCCACCTCGAGAAGCCGCGGTCCATCGGGTCCGTTGGGCTAACGGCGGTTAGCTCCTCTGAATGGCGACTAACTAGCACGCTTTGACCGTGCATTCTTCTCATCCAACGGTCGTTCCCCGTCCTCTTTAGTGCCCCGTCTCTCTGTCCCTTACCCAACGGTCGCTCCTCCTGGCAAGTCTCCTTCTCTTTGAACCACTGGTCCTCTCCTTCGAGACCTTGAAACACTTCACCACAGGATGCTAGAACCACCCTTGAAGCTACCTTACCTGTGGTAAATACGCGACGTCGGCAATCTGGGCCACGCAGATGGAGATATCACATTCAGCAACATTATCAGCGGGCGAGAGCCCAGGTGAATGAGAATCTACAAGCGTCCAGTCAAGCTCGGATTCTAGACCATAATGAAAGGGTGGTCGACCACAAGATCCAGCCGGGAACTCAAGTGTGGCTCTACCTGGACCGGGTGAAAGCAGGGTAAGCCAAGAAATTGGCACACCTCTGGCATGGACCTTTTCGAGTTCTAGAGCTGGTGAGAGATCACTCAGCACGCTTGGAATCTCGAGGCACGGAGTACAGGATATTCGCTGTGGTATATCTTTCCAAGCTCAAGAGGGTTAGAGAGTTCCCCGACCGACCAAGTGCCTCGTTAGAGACGGACGAAATAGATCGGGTCGACTTCGATGAATGCCTGTTTCCGTAGGACAGCTGGGCAAGGGCGCTGGAAGAAGGAGAGTACGAGGTCGAGGAGATTTTGGAAGCCCGCACTGGAAAGAAAACACGCTACGGGAGACAACAACGAGAGCTCCTTGTCCGATGGAAAGGGTATGAAGACCCCACATGGGTGGATGAATCGGATTTAGATTTTGGGGTCTTACTTTGGGATTTCGAACGCAAGGAGAGAAGGAGGAATCGCTTCGAAGCGATGCAAAATCATGAGGACTAGAGGTCAAAGCCGAGGGTTTCGGATGGTTGACCAGAGTCTTTCAAGGTTGATCCTGGTCTATCATGGGTATACCTTAGTCTTCTGAGGTCGACTCTGGTCTATCATTGGTAGACCTTGGTATTTAGAGGGTGGCCCTGGTCTTTAGTGTGGTGAAGAAAGAAAAGTGGCATAAGGTTCAAAGGTAGGAGAGAAGCAGAAATACAAGACGAAGACTGAGAGGAATATGAAAGCAAGTATATTCAAATGGAAATGTCTGGGTGGGATCGAACTTGCTCCGGAGACGTGGTACCGAGCACACAGGGTGGGGATCATACGAAAGCCGATACTGGGTGACTCAAGGGTTGGTGGAGTCGGAGATCTTTAGGGCCTCAAGCAAGTTGGCGGGATCCGACCCTTTCTCACCCCCTGGAAACAAGTATACCACGCAGCGAGGTCGAGGAAGGTATCTGAAGAAGGGGTCGAGCAGGATGTCGATGTCGCACCAACCGTCGCTCATCCTTTTAAAAAGGAGGTCGAAGACCCTTCGCCACGCCTGAATCAAACGACCACGACGTTTCTTCCGTTCATTGTAGTAGGACGAAAGGAAGGAGCTGGAGCGCGATTGATTCTTTGGAGATCCATAAGCAGTGGGTAGCCTCCTAGATCGCTTGGCTGTGGCCTTCGTCAAAAAGCAGTAGATTGCCTCCAATTCCGCGAACCAGACCAATGGCTGGAAGAATACGGGGGTATCGAGACTTGAGCTGACAGCCATGGTCGGGCGACCAAGAGGCTCTGGAGCAACGAAGAGCTGACCAAAGACGGCTTCCACTTGGAAGATCGATCGACCTTCGTGTCTGGTGGACCGAACCAGCCCTAAGGCAACTCCAGGCGGTCGACCAAGTCGCGGGGGGGTCATCGTCGCGACACTCAACGAGTTGACCAGGTCGACCGGCCAAGGTGCCACCTTTGCTGCAGTGAATGATTTCACCTGCATATACCCAGGGATGAAGTCACCTTTCAGAAGTGTGAGTGACTTCCCTGGGGCGGAGCCCGCCTTGACGACCGGGGAGGGGGCCTTCTTTCCCGTAACCGACTCGGTCTTTGAGTCCGGAGATCCGAACATGGCTCGGAATAACTCTGGACCCGGAAAAGTGACCGGACGGGGAACATAGTCGGCCAAAATAGATGGGAGCGGCGGATCGGTAGGCGTGGTGCGACACAGGAAAGACCGCGACGAGCCAAGGTCGCTCGGACCACCTCGCTGTCGTCGCTTTCAGTGTCGTGTCATCCGGGTCAAGAGAGGGTACCGAAGGTAGACCACGAGAGGTCCCCGACTTGGGAGCCGACGAAGCGGGGGTGCTGGTGGTACTCGACTTGGTAGCCTTGGAGACCTTGGCGGTCGTCTTGGCCGATGGGCGCCGAGGTCTCTTGCCTGACCCCGGTGTAGGAGGAACTGTGGGAGTAGTCACGGAAGGAGGTACGGGATCATTGAATGGATTTGTGCTGTAATCCTCGTGCTCCAACTCCGCCATCATGAGATCGTATCGGCGCTGGCGGTAGCCCATTCGCCACCGCAAATGTTCTACCAGCGCTCTCTCGTGCTGGAGTCCCTCTCGCAACTGGACCACGAGGTTGTTGGTGTCTAGCAGCTCTCTCTTGAGGCGCTCACACGTGGTGGCCCAGTAGGCGTCGGAGGAAAGGACGGGAGTAGGTCGATCCTCGCACGCCTCAAGTCTGCGGCTATACGCGCCTAGGCGGTCCTGTAGGTCGCGCAGCATCTGAGGTACGTCTATGGGTTCAACCATCGCAGCGGAGATTCACTCAAAGAGCAATGGCCTGGACGCAAGTAACCGTCCTCACGGGGTACACAACTACAGCACAAATTTCAGATAAAACTTTAAACTGACCAGGGGAGCTGGAGGTAGACCGAGGTTCATCCACGTCTGGTGGACTCTCTTCACCTACAGCTTCAGAAGAAACCGTCGTGAACTCCCTTGGTCCTGGAGCCCGGAGAGCAGTGTCGATCGGCATTCGGGAAGAAACCTGGACCTTTGGGTCAGCAGCGAGTGCAGGAGTGACCAAGACAGGCTACTCAGAAGTTGGGCTACCCCAGAGGAAGGAACAGCTAAGGTACATCAAGCCATATAACGGATATCAAAACGCCAAACAAGCTAAGAGTACTTACGGGATAAAGATGTCGAAGGCATGCGCGTGTACAAGCGGCTGTACCGTTGACCAAGTGCAGAGGGTGGCTATGGTGAAGCATTTCAAGAAATGCTAGGTCAGAGGACAGGTGGGTCAAAAATAAAGGGACCCGCCACGGAGGAGCGACCGTTGGGTATGGGACAGAGAGACGGG